CATAGTTGTTCGGTTGGTTGGAGTGCTTTAATCAGACTTAACCAAACGGAAATGGATAAGTGAAATTAATTTCTACAGTTAAGAACAAAGCAGATGACAAACAAAAATGAGAAAGAAGAAAAAAAGGAGGAGAAACCCAGCCGTGAGAAGTAGAACATGAAACATCTAATTATTGCAATTAATTCAAGAATTAAGAAATTATGTTTTTTATGGTAATGTTAGGAAAATCAAAATTTTCAACTAAATTGTGTAAACCAAATAATGTGGTTGTTAATGATTGAATTATTAATCAAGTGTCAGTTAAGGTAATTATTTGTTATTGATGGCACATCATTTAGCTTATAAATTTGGTTTAAAATTTTAATCTCCCTAATATTATCATTTTTTATTAAAACGTAAAAAGGTCCTTATTAATCACAAATTCAATACAAATAAATCAGACCAAAATTTTAGGAATTGCATTGATTACTTTAATAGTCATGTTAGGGGTAAATTTGACATGCTAGTATCAATAAGGAATTCCTAATCATTTGACTTATTTTAAAAAGTGGACTATTGTTAAAAAAAATAAAAATAAAAATAAAAAGTGGACTATTCTCAATAGTAGTTCAAAAAATTGGACTTATTACATGTGCTTTTTGCATGAAGTAAAAAAAGTGAATTTTCATAATTCACTTGACATTTGACTAAATGATTGGTTCCAAAACATTTTCACCAAAAGCAATGTTAGGGGACTTTTAGGTCAAGGTGGAATTCGGCTTTGAGAACGTCCTCTTATCTCTCTTGGTTCGATTTTGTACCAAGTCCTGAATATCTCGAAAGAGTTAGCTCGCCTTAGGAAATATCCCGGTTAGATCAATGACTCGAAGATTAGCATGATTAAACAAATAATGGCTTGATCAAGAGAAGCGTTGTGTGAAAGCTAGAAGTTCATCAGTTTTTGCATGAAAGAGAGAAAGATTGGGTGGTTGTATGGTGTTCTCTATTGAACAATCTGGGTTCCCTAGGGTGGTAACAAGGCTTACAATGGCTCGAATACTCAGAGGGAGGTCATGGAAAATACTAAGGTTGTAAAGTAATGCCTCCTGGGTTTCTTTGGTTGTCTATGTTATGCTGGGGGATTCAAATCACTCTCTAAAGTTCTTGACCCATATTTGTAGTTGAATGATTAATTCCCAATGAATCTTTAGTTATGGCTTGTTTCTTTCTCCTTTTTCTTCCTAGTTCTTATGCTACCCTTTATTTTGGTGCAAGATGGCTAGGTGTTGCCAACCTATGAAATCTACATCATGTCTTCTTCCCAAGGCGTTGTTTTCCAGGGTCAACTTTCCACAAGCGCTACTTTTGGTAGCGCGTCTCATGGCTTTTATGCGTTGAATTTTTGTGTGAGCTGGGAATGGAAAGTTAGCCTCTCTCTTCATTAAATGTTTGCTTTGCTGGGGGTTTCACATGAGCCTAGGGTTATGACTTGGTTCCTTTCTATGAATGCTTTTTTCGTTCGCTATGTGCTGACTAGATGCGTACTCGCGCGATCGATGGACGGGGGAATTGCGTGAATGATGGATTGGTTAGCTTGCTAGGAAAAGGGGTAAACTAAGTGTGTTTTCTCTTAATGCTTGCCTATGTGGGCTACAAGGATTATGGGCTTTAATTTTTAGGCCCCCCCAAGCATCCCAAAGTCCTCTATAACCTTGACTCCACATGGCCTCATAAACTCTCGTAACCATCCACACTACAATGCACTTGACAGGCCTCGAGCATGTGACTTGGGCTTATTTTAGCGGGACAAATAGGTATGGGCATGACATGATTTATATAAATGTATAACCTAATTACCATAGCATGACATGGTCGTGAATATATTCATTCCTTGATCTCGCACCTTTACATGTGTTTCGGCTTGACTTGGTGCTTTCATGGCAGTTGGCCTAGCTCATGACAATTTTGGGCCTCAACATTATCCCCTTGATTGTTTGGGCTATGAAAAATCTTGAATAGGCTAAGCAATCAAACCCAGGCCTAAACGAATATTTTAAAGATAGCCTTCATGATGGGACTTTTCCCCTTCCCACATGGCTACAAATGGCATCGTGACGATGTGCGCCCTTGTTTCCCGTGCATGTCTCATCATCTGAAGGCTAGGTATTCCCTTACCCTTTTACTGTAATCGTTTTAAACTTCCCATCTCTCCAAAACAAGCATTTAATTTGTCATTACTTCTTCTTTTCTTATCTAACTCTTTTTTTTTTCAAATTCCTCTATGCTCCATCTTTCTTCCTCTATCGCTCATCATCCTCTGTATTTCGGACTTCCTGTGTGCTTTGCTTGTGTTTTGCTGTCTTTTGCGACGAGCTCCTCTCAGGTGAGGAAAAGTTTTACCTTTTTCTTTTCGTATTTTCTTGAAGGCTTTGGTGGTGGATTTTGAACACATTCCTACCCATTTTCTCCTTGCACACTAGGAACACTTTAGGGTTTTATAGGCGAAGGGTGCAATTTTCCCTCACGAAATATAATTCATATTCCTGGTTTTCAACTTTGAAACTTTGCATGCTTGCCTTTGTAGACTTCTTGCTTGTCATGCATATTGCACGATTGTCACTTAGCCTCGCTTGATTGCTTCTTGGTGTATAATCAAACATGATTAATTGATTACATTGTTTGGCTTGGATCTTTGTATAGCATTCGTTTCTCAGATTTTCTATATTTTGTGGCTGGTTGGCATGGCATGGGCACGTTCTGCATGATAGCATGTAGGGAGGCTAGTCAAATGTTAAAGTCTTGGGCTTTTGCATGTGTATGTTTGAGTTTCTAAAGATTCTAATTTCCTCTAGGCATATTTTCTTGTCTTCCTAGGCTAGATTCTCACCTTTTGCCCTGTTGTGCTTCTTTTCAATATGTTTGGGTGGCTTATCTTACATGGCTTGGTGGATTGCGGCATTTTATAGTTTAACGTTCATGTCCTATAAGCAAACCATGGCTCTGGAATCCTCAAAGTGCTTGACTGCAGTAAAGCCGCCTCCTCCCTTTGGTCCTTAAAATAAAGCTTTAAGAAGGAAGAGTCTTCCCTAGAGTTGGCACCTCTTATCAATCCTAGATGTATTTCACGTTGCTGTATAAAAAGTGGGATGTTTCTTGCGATCCGTATTCATTTCGACTTCTCGTGCGGTGAAACTACTGGCTGGGCCAAGTGGGTAAACCCCGAGCTTGGATTCTCGAATTAGTGTGAGGTATTGAAGAGTAAAAAGGTACTGGACTTTGTCTTCTTGACAAAGAAGGAAGTAATCCATGTGGAACTAGACTTCTTTAGGCTTATGGTTAGACGCTGGAGCACAGAAGCCCACACCTTCGTCTGCGCTTAGGCGAATTCACCCCTACCTTGGAGGATGTGGCCAACATTATGCATTTTTCTATCTTGGGGAACGTAGATCCCTTTCACTATACATGTGGCTGATGTTGAGATATTCAAAGTGCTGCAGAATTGAGCCCCTACTTCCTTGAGTAAGGCGATTCATTTCAACGAATGGATTAAACATTTTTGGCATAAATTCTAGGAATCAAACTGCAAGTTCGAAGCTATGATATGTCTGTAAGAACATAGACGCATGCTGCCTTCGATTCTTGTGATTGTGCGGGGTCACGTAGTTCCGTTAACCTCATTATTCCTTGGTTTGTTGTATCACGAGGTAAATGAGATCCATGCTTTCGAGGAGCAGGTTGTCGACAGCGTTCCAATCAAAAGTTTCTTATGTGTAAGCTTCCTACAAATATTTCTCTTAGATTAGATCCATGCTCAAGCTGTGGTCCATGCTTTCAATTTCACAGTTCAACAAGACTAGGTGAAAGTTATTTTTTTAATTTGATTTCAAGGAGGTAATCGACTGTATCAACACTAGATCGAAGTCACCACCATGTGTGTATTTTCCCTACAGTTAGCCTAATTCGACTGAAGAGTCTCCTCGAACACCACAAATGGGTGCGGGCTGCACGACAAGTGAACTATGCGGCCAACCTGGTCTCACTAACTATGAAGAAGACACGCCCGAAAAATTGGGTCAAAATACCCCCATCTTCTTTGATCTTCATGCTGTCTAGTGATGGGCTGCCTTGCTCCACCCCCCCCCCCTTTTGTCTTCATAGTCATCGTCGCCTTTCCCTTTCTATTTTCTGTTTCGTTGTAGTGTCTTATATTTGTTTCTGTCTTTTGGGGGCCTTGGCTGTTTGTGTGGCCTGCCTGCCTTTTTTGTGTTTTCGTGGTTTGACACTTTTGACCTTATTTTTACTGAAAGTTTGTTTGACTAAAAAAAAAAAAGAAGCTTACCAATTAGGCCTTGTGTGTGTAAACTTATGCATTGGGATGGGAAGGGAAAAATATGAGATAGAAAGTTCTAAGACCAACATTATTTCCCTTTAGAAATTGGTTGGTAACAGGTCTTGTGGAACCAAAGGGGTGCTGTTGCACCCCACAACACACCAAACCAAAGACGAAGAGTAGTATTCTAGTGGTGTTTTTTGTTACAAAAACACCCTCCCAATATTTTGCTCTCTTTTCTCAGACAGAAACACATGAAAAAATTCCAATACAAAATGCAAAATTTTGACGACAACAAGCGCGTCACGCATGTCGGAAACGAGTGCACGTAGCCCAGCTGCCTTAAAAGTCGACAATCACCCACCCTCTCTCCCCCGTACGCGACACCCCACGCGCCTCCACGTCTCTTCCTGCTGGAATGTGCCCAGCACCACCATCCCCGCTTCAGCGCGTGGGACACTTTTGAACGAAGGAATTAAATATACAATTAAATAATTCTCTTGTTTTTATTTCCAGAGTATAAACGACGCGTAGGGGCAGCGGTGGTCTGTCTGACACTCCCCCACAGCTCTCTGAAACTTACCGCGCGGTGTAAAAACGGAGGGTGAAAGGTGAGAGTGACCGGTTCAACCGGGAGTAGTCGGTTGGGAGTAGGAAATGGGAAAGTATATCAAGGGCTTTCAGGGAGCCAAGCTATTTTGTTTGCAGGGAGAGGTAGTGAGGGGACTGAGTTTATACAAAAATTTACACCTGACACACACTCTCTCTCACTCTCTCTCTCTCTCCCTCTCTCTACCTTCTCTCTCTAAACTCACTCAGCCCTCTCTTTATCTTCTTCTTTCTGGGTTGATTCTCTTTCATTAATTGGTGGGGTTTTTCCGTTTTTCTCTAATTTTAATCAATATATATTAATTAATTGAGATGGAGTTTGAGGATCAAGAGGAGCACGAGGAGGAGATGGAGATGGCGGCTAGCTACGACTCGCTCGGCAACTCAGCCGGAGGCCGAGTCAAAATGTCGAGTTCTGGACCAGATGGTTTGGCGCTAGCAGCGGCTGCTGCAGCGGCGGCGGCGTCTGATCAGCAGCAGCAACCAAGGAAGGCTGTGAGGTACCGGGAGTGCTTGAAGAACCACGCGGTGGGGATTGGAGGCCACGCGCTGGACGGGTGCTGCGAGTTCCTGGCGGCCGGCCCGGACGGCACGCTCGACGCGCTCAAGTGCGCCGCCTGCAACTGCCATCGGAACTTCCACCGAAAGGAGGGCGACCCGGCAGGACACGGTCTCGGAGTCATAACCGATGCGTACGGGCAGCTGGTGCCACACCACGGGCAGCAACACCACCCGCAGTTCTCACCGTACTACAGGACTCCAGCTGGTTACCTCCACGTGGCGGCGCACCACAGGCCGCTGGCTTTGCCGTCTACTTCGGGAGGGGGAGGGACCTACAGCGGGGGGCAGGAGCAGGATGACGACGTGTCGAATCCCAGCGGGGGCGGTGGCGGTGGCGGAGGGAGTGGGGGTTTGGGAATGGGAATGGGTATGCACGGAACGGCGTCCTCTGGGAAGAAGAGGTTTCGGACAAAGTTTAGTCAGGAGCAGAAGGAGAGGATGTTGAGCTTGGCGGAGCGGCTCGGGTGGAGGATTCAGAAGCAGGACGAACCGGCGGTTCAGCAATTCTGTAACGAGACCGGGGTGAAGCGCCACGTGCTCAAGGTTTGGATGCATAACAACAAACACACTCTGGGTAAGAAACCCTAGCTAAGCTCTTAAGCTTATGTGCTCATAACTTAAGCTCGAAACAAAACAAACCCCCAAAACCAAACAATGAACATGAACAACAACCCTCAACAAGTACATCGTCGTCATCATCGACGTCGTTGTTTGATCTCTTCTGATGTTTTGTATTTATCATAATTTAGGACAACATCGTGACTTGGTTGCTAGCAAGCTAGCTACCATGTGGTAGTAGGATTTTATCAGTTATGGGGCATTCTTCTTCTGGATCAATGTGCCTGCAGCTGACTTTGTTGAGTAAAACTCTACTACTTTCTCCGGATTTTAGTGTTTTAGCTTATTAGCTAGGGTTTCGTTTGGCTTAATTGATCCAGTAGCTAGCCGGTGTTATTTGAACACTTGATTTAGATGAATGTGGCCCATTAATTTGAACATTTTATCAGTACTGCATGTAAAATATTTATCTTAATTTGTTCATCTAGCCACCAAATGGGTTGACATTATCAATGTTTGTTGAGTGTGCAATCTTTAGCTGCGAATGCTGATCAAGATCATATCAATGTTTGTTGATTTTACAATTTAGAGAAGGACTTGCACCATGACGTCGTGTGGTCCAATATAATACAATTTCATTTGTAAGTTTATTTCTATGTGACAATATTGCATTGTAGGATTGCAATGTCACGTGCTTGTAAACCTGTTCCATGCAAATTGTTTCCCGCAATTTGTGTGTGATGACTTGTTGCTCTCTCCACAATTAGTATGTGTGTGATGAGTTGGTTGAAGGGAGGATCAATCGAGCGTGTGTGATGGATTTTTGCATTTTCCTGTTTGATTTAATGACTATCGATCATGCCCGTCTTTTCTCCACATGTTTGTACATTTCTGCAGTGTGTCTATTGCTGCTGCTTCTTTTTCTCTTCTCATCAATTATTCAATCTCCCAAACCTTTCCGTTTTGGTCCACGAATCAGACTTTCTGTATTGGTATTAGCATTTGTTGAGAAGATTAATTGTATGATTGTATGGATGTTCTTCATTGACTGCAATGCAATGCAAACCTTTTTCTCTTTATTCATACCTACATATACCTATATATGATGATGAATATATGATGAATGCTTTCTATTTCCTTCCTTTTTCCCTTCAATTCTCTCTCTCTCTCTCTCTCTCTCTCTACCAAGTAGTAGTCTTTGCTGTTGCTTGCATACATTGCATTTACTTTTGCAGTCATCATCTGTACTGCTGCAGAATGAATATATATATATATATATATATATTATATTATATAATACTTACATGAATGATGAATTTCTTTTTTCTCTTAATTTCCATGAAAATTTCTTTTTAAATGAAAGAGTATTTTATACACATTGATCCATGTAATCATATGAGGGAACTTGTCTGCTGTAGTAGAAGTTAAAACCCAGATGATGGTGATGATGATGATGGGGTCACCTTGGGAAGGAAACAAACGAAGACCTCAAAGTTATATTTAATTATTTGAATTTTTTTCTTTGGATAATTAATTATCATATATATATATACACACACACACACAGCTATATGTTTATTACTGTTTTTGTTTTCTCTTGGGAATTGAAGATATAATCAGATAGTGAAACACTAGTTTTTGTTTTCATGGAAATTAACTCAAAACCAAAATGTGGAGGGGTTCAGTCGATGATCGATAGATCCAAAGCTTGGTCTCTCTGCAGCCGATATATTAGTTATTATTTTTTTCATTAATTTCTTCTGCTTCTCGCTTTGTTTCCAAATTTCAATAATCTGCTTCGAAGGGAACATGTGGGCACTCTAGCAGCAAAAATAAATGTACAAAAGAGGGACACATCTTTTGTCTGCACCTACCACAACTTCTACCATGTACATTCATCTGTTGGTTGATAAAATATTTAATTATATGATTCCTTCCAAGAATCTCTAGTAATTAACCCCATTAGGGTTTAAGTAAACGTAACGGTGGAAACTAACTCAGATAATTAACAAATAAAGGGGACTGATGTAAGGTATTTGTGGCTACGTACTGAGTATATGTAATGATGTATGATATCCATGGCTTCTGCGTAAGCAAAGCCACGGATTGAATCCCGTGACCGAACCCTTAAGTCATGGTTGAGCTTAGTTTTCCAGTTGGACCAAATTCTGTTTTCAAAGCTTGGGTCCTTTTACGTGTTCGACTATTTTTAGGGTTTGCTGTTTTAAGATTACCTGCAAAACCAATATATAAAAAGAAAGGGATTAAATTTGTTTGGAAGATTTGTTTTAATTTGTTTGCGAAATAAGAGCCAAGCTTCCCTAGATGATGAGATCGTTTGAAGATGCTTTGCTTGTTTTGGTGGAACCCTAACGTCAGATTAAAGCTGCACTGTGGTCCATATACGTATATTTGGAATCTGGTCAAACTTCAATTTAGTAGATTCACACAGTTGTAAATCATCATCTTATATATCCGTTATTCCTATCAATTTATGCTTATTAATTTTATGGACCGTCTTTTGTTCTTTTGGAGCTTTGGACGTTCAAAGTTAGGCCAAGAAAACTTTCGGCCAAAAGTCAAAATCGCGTTTTTGTTACTATGTACTATGTTATGCGCTCTGAACGAGTGAGAATAACGACTCTTTACATTTAAGGAGTCAATCAAGCAAACATTCATGTTTTATGTTCATACGGCAGTTAAAGAGGTTGAGGTTTGATCATAAATCAATTGTTAATACAAGAAACAGTTTAACTTCTCCGATGTAAAATTCATACTCGCAAAGGTGGAGTCTTACGTGATCAATTCAAAGATGTAAGGGCTTTTAGAGAGAATTGAATTCCAGATTGGATAAGAATTTCTATGTATGTATTGTACTTTTGAGAATTTGAGAATCCTGCTTTCTGATTATAGATGTTGTCATTTCTGCTACTTCAAAAAAGGGCCAGAGTGCTGAGACACAAACACCGAAACACAAAGCAAAAACTAATACTTGATGTATGTATGTATGTATGTATGTATGTGTGTTTGTCAATTAACCAAAGCTTGTATATGATTATGTCGATTGTTAACTTAACTTAATAAAAAAATAGACAATTCGGATTGTTGAAGTTCGATATGGTATAAGCTCCATAACTAGTTCACTTTTAACTAAAAATCACATTGTTATACTTTTTTGGTGCTATTCACTACACCTCTATTTGTCATTTTTCATTAAAACTAATTTTTTTTTTACTTTTCATTAATTTTTCTAAAAAAAAAAGGAAAAAAAAAAGAGAATCCCTTTCTTTCAAGGCTTTCTGTATGTATATTACTTAACCAAAGCTTGTATGATTATGTCTTTTGCTAACTTAGCTAAAAATCAATATAATATGAGGAAAGAGTGAATCAACAAAACATACAAAAATAGAAAAGTAATAAATGAAACATGCCCCCAAACCCTAGCATTTGGTGTTCGTGGTGAGATCATATTAATTCTGATTTGATGGTCAAAAAAAGAAAGAAAAGAAGGTATTAAAGCTGATAACTGACGTTGACTATAATGGTTGGGTGTAGGCCTTGTTAGAAATCGAAGTCAACGTCAATCAAAGCTTGATTTGTGGATCAAATATTAGAGAACAAATAAAAATGTAATTAGGTCCTAAAGTTTAGCTATTTGTCTGCTAATTTACTTTTTTTAGACTAAATGTATTTCTATATGGGTGTGTTTGTTACACCTCCTTAAAAGGGATTGGCTTGAACTAGCTTAACTAGAATTATAATCTTATGTTTGGTAAGGTTCTAGACTAGAATAAGTGGGACTCGCCTCGACTACGAGGCACTCCGCCCTTCACTAAACCTTATTAGCTAGTCCCCTGCTTTCGCTTGGTATTAAGCGGGGCTACGGAAACGAGGCGGACATCTAGTTCCAATTCACAGGCTCCGCTTCTTTTTCTGCAGCGTTGTCATCGTGGCCAGGTCGTCGGTGGTGCTTGGAATCGGGAAGTTGGCTTTTTGAAAATTGGAGTTCTCGGGAGGGTTGGGTCTTGGAATCGAAAGGGTTGAGATTTTTTTTAATTGATTTGGGGATTTTGAAAATCAGAGGGCTGAGACATCCAAACCACGAACTCACCCCATCTTCCAAATATGCTCACAGATTTCAAGTGCAAGGGAGAGGGATGGAAGATTTGGATGTTGATTGTGAAAAGCTTCTAGCATGCAAACCTGATCTTGATTGTATAAAGGCTCTGCATTTTGATAGCGAGGTAATTTGGATTCCAATACCCCAATACAAATTATCTTAATCGATGAAGAAAATTAAGAGATTGATGCATGATTTGACAAAGAGAAAATGATGGGGAAGATAAACGATGAATGACACACCCCATCCCGGAGTAGGGCATGCTGGCCGTCACGTGAGAGTGACGTAACCATTTACACAGTTCGGAAGCTTTTAAAATACAGTTGCTAAAAAGAAACCCCCGATGGTGAGTCCTACTTTTAACAATTCTGTCAGAACACCGCTGAATTCCTCATGGCCACCAAAACTCTGCTATCTTGAACCTGGAGGGGCGCAAAACAAGATTGAGTGGGTCATTAAAACAAAACTTTTCGAAAACATTTCATTTAATAACATATCTAACCCCTCGCTGTAAAACTTGTATACTTTCCCATAAAATAGCCATATATAAACATATATATAAGCAAATATCTCAAATCACAACCTTTTATCACTTTTCAAAAAATATGCCATGCCAAGTGTCAAAAACATAATATAGATGCATCAATATAAATCAGGTGAAAATAAATCAACCGGAGACCCTGAAGTGGTCCTGTACGGCTGATTCTAAAGCTCAACATCTAATCTAGCCGGAGTCACAAACTATGACCTGTACGGCACTGCCGGAGTCACCAACTCTAACCTGTACGGCACTACACTGCACATAAGTCGGAACTACCCATAGTAGTCTGTTCGACTAGGATGATGTAATAATACGCTCTAGTGCTTCTCTCATCAATCATCTGTGCACATAATCTAAGGTCACCTACCAGTTGGAATCACATCTAGTGGTCTGTACGACTAGCATGTCGGAACCACCTCTATTGGTCTGTACGACTAGCACCTACTTGGATCCAAGGTGAGCGTGTGGTACGGGGTGAATAATATAAGCACTAACATCAAGGGTGCAGATTATGAGCTTTCAACACAATTCACATCAACCATAAATCATAAAAATAATATAAAACTCACCTGATACTCACCTGTGCGTCCACAACACCATTTCACATATTTGCATCAATTACCAAATCATATAATTCATATAACAATTCACATATTTCAAATAATTCTATGCATGGCATTTCCAAACGCATTTCATAACACATTTCATTTAAATTGATTTCTGGGAAAACTCATTTATATAGGTATATACGGAAACAAAACTGCCCACTCACAGATATGTCGAAGGGTCGTAGCCCCCGAGCCTCCCTTAACTGTGCTCATCATCCATATAAGCCTCGCCTATAGAAGAAGTAACCAAAATAACGTTATTTAAGCACATAACCAACCTAAGTAATAACTTCTCATACATTGCTTAAACTGGGCATATGAATATACCATAGTGATCTACACAACCTCACGAGCGTCGTAAAAATTTTAGAATAATTTTTTAGTGTCGCACGTGCCCCCATGCGCCGTGGGTGGCACGGACCTACGCGTCCCCACGCGCGTCTTCTTCTTCCTCGCGTCGCCGGCACCGAAAACCTGCAACTCGTCCGTTCTCATTCGTTTCTTCACCATTTTTCATGAAATTTTCACCTACGAGCTCTAAATTAAGAGGGGAAGGAATCTATACCTTCAAAAACCTTTGAAAACCTCTGAAATTTCGTCAGGAAAATCCTCCAAAATCGGTCAACTTCGAATGGCGTGATCCTGACGTCCAAAAACCTCCAACTTGGTCATCCGAGCTTCACAAGATCATTTTATGAACTCCTATGATCTTAGATTGGTCCAAAAACCCTAGATTAAAACATCATGAACAGTACCTCGTTGTTAACTTTCGGAAAACCCTTGATTTCATGAGTTTCAGGCCAAACCAAAAGCATGACTGGGTTTGTGAACTTACCAGGGTTCCAAATCCGTTAAGAACAAGTTTGATCTGTGCCTCAAACATCCAAAACCACGACGTCCGTACGTTTGAGGCTAAAAGGAAGAAAAATCGAGAGAGAGAAGGGAGAGGAAATCCACGGGGGAGAGAGAGAATGCAGGTTTGTGTGTGTGGTCCACATAAATCCCTAACCATACAAATGAAAACATAACCCAAGTTCCAAATTAAATTTTCCACAAACTTAGGAAGGACAATAATAATTAAATGTATAAGTCACACCCACAGCTTAGAAATCGATAAAGGCAATTCCGTCATTTCATATCAACGAATATGAAATTCCGGAACGGGCTGTGACAATCTCCCCTCCTCATAGAATTTCGTCCTCGAAATTCACACCACCAATCAATTCACTTAGTACTCAAAACAACCTTGGATACATCTCTCTCATTCGATCCTCTGTCTCCCACGTACATTGTCTTATTTCTCAGACTTTCTTTTTCCAATCCAAAATCATCACTGATTCCTCATCATAAGTCAAATCCAGATAAATTTTCAATGGTTAAGGAGGTATCACACGTGAAAGATCTGAAACATAATGTCAAAGCATCGAAAACATAAAACACATCATGCACTTACGTCAGCTCTAGAAGCAACTCAAGCCTGTAAGCAACTTCACCAACTCTTTCGGTGATCACATAAAACCCGTTGTCTCTATGACTTAACTTGCCTTTCTTTTCAAATCGAACCACATATTTCCAAGGCGATAATTTCAAAAATACTCAATCATCTACATTACACCCGATTAGTGGCATGTCTGACAAACTCTTTGTTAATCATGGGCTACTTTCAAGTTAGACTTAATCACTTGAACATTCTGAGTAGTCTCAACCAAAATCTCTGGGCCCTCTAAAACTCTTTTGCTAATCTCTGACCAACACAAAGGTGTACGACAAGCTTTACCATAAAGCGCTTCAAATGGTGTCGTCTCGATGCTAGAATGGTAATTATTATCGTAGGCAAATTCCATTAAATCCAACTGCTTAATCCAAGCGTCGCCAAACTGCAATATTGAAGATCTCCGCATATCCTCCAAAGTCTGAATAGTGCTTTCTGATTAACCATCTGTTTGAGGGCGATAAGTTGTACTATAAGGTAACTTGGTAACCCAGCTTCCTGGATGCTATCCAAAACTTAGAAGTGACCGACATACCCAAGAAGTTCAACAGGTCTGTAAGCCCAAATCTCTTTTCCATAAGACAGATAAATAACTGTTGCACTTCTAGAAAGGTTACTGCTCTTTCATTGAAGAATATTGCGCTGATTTAGTAAACAAATCAATTATCACCTCCAATTTCATCATAACCGTCTCGTGAACGAGGAACTTGCACACATAATCTATATTAATATTTTCTCATTTCCACTGTGGAACGGGAAGTGACTACATCAATCCAAAAGACTTCTTTCTTTCCGTTTTAACCTGCTGACAGATGATACACCTATTAATATATACAAAAATTTCTCTTTTCATACCTGACCAATAGTAAAATGGTCGTATGGTATAATACATCTTAATACCTCCAGGATGCATTGTATAAGCTGAACAGTACGCTAATTCCAAAATTGCTTCCTTTAATTCCATAACGTTAGGTACAAACACCTTGTTCTCTTGCATAAGCTTGCCATCTGATTCTCTAACTCTGAGGTCTTTCTTTTTCCCGTTATTCCTTGCTTTAAATAAATTCTTAAATTTCTTCATCAAACGTTTGAGTCTCGAGTACGACCTACCAAATAGGCCTAACTTAAAAATTAGCAAGTACGTTCTTTTTCGATCTTCCATTCCTAACTTTACTCGAGTAGATCTCAAATCCACAAGAAGATGAACATGGCAATCGTACCAAGCATTAATTCTCACTGGGGTCTTCCTACTAAAAGTATTGGCCACAACATTTGCACGATCACCCTGTCGTGCAATCATAATCACTAAGCAACTCAATCCACCTTCATTGCCTAAGATTAAGATACCTCTTGAATAAATAGATATTGGAGACTCTCTTGATTCGTAAAAATCTTACAATTTTCTCCATAAAGGTAATGTCTCCAAATCTTCCAAGTGAAAATGATAGCTGCTAATTCCAAATCATAATTAGGGTAATTCATCTCATGAAGTTTCAATTGCCGTGAAACATAGGTAATCACCCTACCATGTTGCATCAACACGCATTCAAGAACATTCCACGTAGCCTCACTAAAAACCTTATCATTACCGCTATAATCTGGAAGCGCTAAAATATGTGCTAGAGTGAGGAAATATTTCAATTGTTGAAAACTTACCCACAATTATCATCCCACTCAACTTAACCTCTTTTCTCGTCAATGGTAACACAATGACTGAAAAATCTTTCACCAACCGTCCATGATAGCCTGCTAAGCTATGAAACTCTGAATCTCAATCACGGTTTGCGCTTGTTCCAAATTCTCCACCGCTGTTACCTTTTTAAGGATCCTCCTGAATACCTTGAACAGATATCACACGTCCCAGAAATGGCATTTGATTCATCCAACATTGGCAGTTATTAATCTTGGTATACAACCGAGGTTCTCTCCATTTCCTCAATACCAATTTAAAATGTCGAACATAGTTCGCTTTCGACTTAGAATATACTCGAATATCGCCAATAAAAACAATAACAACCTGTCTAGATATCGTTGGAGTACTTGATTCATCAAATCCATAAAAGCAGCAGGTACATTCGTCATTCCGAATGGTGTCACCAAAACTCATATTGACCATGAAGAATCCTGAAATTAATCTTAGGAATATCATCACTCAATCTTCACTTGGTGATAACCAGACCTCAAGTCAATCTTAGGAAATACACAAGCACCTCTAAGTTAATGAACAATTCATCAATGTGTGACAATGGATAATTGTTCTCAATAATTGCCTGATTCAAATTCCTATAATCAATGCCTAGCCTTTAGGGTCCTGTCTTGTTTTCTCACAAACAAAATTGGGGTTCTTCTAGATGACGTACTAGGTTGATTAAAACCTTTATCAACCAATTCTTGCAACTGAATTTTCAATTCCCTTAACTCATCAGTAGTCATTCCTTAATACAAGATCTGTACTTGGAAATAAACTAATGGTGAACTCCACATCTCTGCTTGGCAGCAACCCAGGTAAATTCTCAGAGAAAACGTTAGGAAAATGTCTAACCACCTTGACATCTTCCACACTACTCAGAGTAACATCTCTTAGTACCGCACGAGCTACATATCCTTGACAGCCTTTCGATAACAATCTCTTTTCCCTCACAGCATAAATAACGGTCTACTTCAATCCACTTTGCATACCCACAAAAGTAATCTCTGGTCATCCAAATTGGTGGAAAGTAATTGGTTTCCTGTAGCAATCTATCCTGGCACAATTATAATGCAACTAATCTGTGCCTAAAATCACATCCAAATCCACGATATCCAACGAAATAAGATTCCCTGACATAACTATATCCTCCCCCAACGCTGAACACCCTGAATAACACCATACTAATGTAGGGTAACCTACCTGTTTACTTGCTTAACGGATCCAACAAATAAGTTATTAATACTACGGTCTGCAGCCCGCAATACTAATAAATCATCGTTGTCTCGATAAGTAAGCAACAATTCCCAAGAGGGCAATATTACCATCTTACTCCTCATAGGGAAAATACATATATACGCCTTGATCGTGCTCATTCACTACTTCCTTTGACAACATCGTCAATAATAAGAATTATATCAGCCGGAGTCAGCTAGAATGACCTGTACGGCTGAGTCTACAGCTCATCCATCCATGTTAGCACATAAGTCGGAGTCACCTATAGTGATCTGTACGACTTACTCCTCAATTTTTCCAAGTAATATGTCAGGGAAGACTGTTGGGTAACAACTGATTCTAGGGACAATTCATACCTCCATGTCTCATCTAACCACATGAACACATTCATTGCTTCCCACACTCTCCAAAGAGTCTAATATTGTACCTACGGTACGAAGATACATTTCCTCTACCAGAGTCAACTTGTCTTTGAGATCTGGGATAACTAGTAAATCCATCATTTCATCTCTGACCAGTGGCACTAAAACCTCAGTTGGGAGAATTAGCTTTAGTTTCACTTCTTTTGAACCTTTGAGTCTTTCGAGTGTTGGAAATGTGCCTTAAAACCAATCATGTGATGATACTTTACGGACATTTCACATGTTAAACTAATCTAGTTTAATATAAAGGGCAAAGATTATTGTTTGAGCCGTCTCATATAAATGTTATATGCTTAAACGATAAAGTCCAAGGAATATGTGATTGGAAGAATGTAATCTAATGAAGTTAGATTCATGAGACCATTCTTTCGTAGACACATCCTAAATGTTCCTGATCATAGGATTGCCAATTGGGCATTGACAGTCCGTCAAGATCGGTACGTGCTATGTCTTCTCTCAGGGAGAGTGACTAGTCTCGAGTCATTGGTGTGTGTGACATCAAGACAAGTACGTAGGTGCTCAGTAGAGAATGAGTTCACTGAACGTGATCAACGAAGAGTTCTCATACTCATGTCACATGAGAACTCATGTTTGGGATAATGCAAATTAGTCCTTTGACCTGAGGCATCACAGTTGTCTTGTGGTTAAGTCCTTGATCTTTGATTATGTCAAAGTCACCCCATCGGGGTGTCCACGGCATCGTTGGGGTTAAGCCACTTAGTCATGGAGGCAAGTGAATGCGCAACAAGGGATCTCTAACCTTCAAACCGTTTGAGGGAGAATACTCTATGATATGATTTAGAATCTCTGGCCAGAGTATGAATGAGATTTAGAAAAGTCGTTCTAAATCACATTCAATGAAATCATATAAGCACACGAATCACATTGGATAGTAGACATGAATAAATAAACTATCAAACCAAACAATGTGGTCAGGAGTATTTAGATTAGAGAAAGACCGTATTGCATTTGTAATCCCAAACTGAATAGGTTTTCTCTAC